TGATGATGATGATGATGATGATGGTGAATGGTATCCAAGTCTTGTGTTTAACCAACTGGGATGCAGTTTTTCGCACCAATACAATAGGTATCAACCCGCATCAGTGCATCACCGAACACGATCCAGGTGACAACCGTAAAAACTGTGTTTTACCACAAAAAACAAGAAGACCAGCGATGAAAACTCCACCGACCGATGCTCAAGAGGAGATGTGAACAACTTTGAATAGGAGGCCAAGTTCCCTTGAATGAAACAAAAACATAATTTGTACTTGATGTACTATCTATCGGAACCTTGGTCTCCTCTGTATCAAACTACACCAATGTTGTTTGGGTATTTAGGCGGCATACACGTCTGCTAGTTACGGTGGTCAAGCCTAAAACTGACTGAGGGTGCTAGACTACCAACCCAACCGCGCACTGGAGACGTCCTCTCGAATGGTGACGAAGTATTTGCAAGCCAATTTAAAAACTCAGCGAATTATTCAACCAACACATGATAAGCCAAACGGATCACATCAGGTGCCAGTCCATTGAGTGTGGGTGCCACCAGTCCGTGTGGAGTCCCAGCGTACAAGTGCGATGTGGGACGCATTGTAACTGTACGCCTTAAGACGACGTGGCATATGAAATGCAATGGTACCCTTGATCCTAACTGTAATCCTAACGAACAGTGCTAGTCAGTATTCGTATTTGGAGATAACAAGGACGTATGCCAGCATGCACCTGGAGATGTTGCTATTGCCGATCAAACTTTGGGTAGGACATGGTGGCTTCGATTCGCCGACTGCTTGTACATCCGGCTATGGAGACATATTACAGACAGGCAGTTGTCATTTCACACAAGATACGAAAAAAACTTAATAAAGAGAGGCATAGTTGCGAATCTGGGAGGGCAAAGTGAGGTTATCTTAGCTGCCTTGACTTATATATTGACGACTTGCTTGTTTCGAGGAAAAAAGTGATGTGGATACTTTCCCTTGCATTTGGAAAAAGTCTCGAGACGATGTACAATACGGCGAGTAACGGCTGGAAAAAATCTGAAAGTACAAAGATCAGGAACAACGAAAAAATAGGATTCCTGAATGACATTCTTTCTGGGCAGAGGAGTCAGCAAGTGTTAATCATTGAATCTGGATGTTACTGTATCGTATAAAAATAAAGAATGTACGGACAGGCAAAGTGGGGAAAAAGGCATGGTTGCTCATGTAACGGGATGCTTTTCTGTATAAAAACGCCCAGACTTGGTGTTTGTGACTCGACAAAGTCGACTAAGGACAGAACCAACACTAGGAGGAACTGGTTTAGGATTATCCCTTCCACTGTCGACATCACCATCATACTGGTCTAAATCGACCATCACATCAACATATTCGAAATCTGAGTCAGAATCTGAAGTCATAAACGGAACTGACGTGGTGGTGGTGGTGGACGCTTCTGACTTTTTGGAATCCAACGGGCTAACTAACAACTCGGTCAGATAACTGGCCAGCTCCGCTTCGGGCCAGAAGCTACATCTTTGAAATAATGCGCCTAGGCGTACTTCCACGCTCTCATCTGGGAGATCTTCGGAACACAGGAGGGATATACTACGAAATCGAGAAGAATTCACATCTACAGACGTCTGATTTGCGGTCGAACCAAGGAGTGTTCTAGAGGGAGGCAATTCCGAATAGGCGCGCCCTGCACAAGTCAAGTGTTTCCGAAGTTTAGGCCTCAAACCTTCAGGTACAGCAGCCTTCCAAACAGCCAGAAAATCCGTCATATCAAAGCTATGGGTGACCGACAGGAGGTGTTCACCAATTAACTGGCAAATCTTTGAATTTCTCGGGAACATGTAGAATTCCCCTTGACTGGAGAAGAGGCTTGAATCACGGCTTCGAGAGAAAAACAACGGGATATCAACATATTGAAATCTGAGTCAGAATCTGAAGTCATAAACGGAACTGACGTGGTGGTGGTGGTGGACGCTTCTGACTTTTTGGAATCCAACGGGCTAACTAACAACTCGGTCAGATAACTGGCCAGCTCCGCTTCGGGCCAGAAGCTACATCTTTGAAATAATGCGCCTAGGCGTACTTCCACGCTCTCATCTGGGAGATCTTCGGAACACAGGAGGGATATACTACGAAATCGAGAAGAATTCACATCTACAGACGTCTGATTTGCGGTCGAACCAAGGAGTGTTCTAGAGGGAGGCAATTCCGAATAGGCGCGCCCTGCACAAGTCAAGTGTTTCCGAAGTTTAGGCCTCAAACCTTCAGGTACAGCAGCCTTCCAAACAGCCAGAAAATCCGTCATATCAAAGCTATGGGTGACCGACAGGAGGTGTTCACCAATTAACTGGCAAATCTTTGAATTTCTCGGGAACATGTAGAATTCCCCTTGACTGGAGAAGAGGCTTGAATCACGGCTTCGAGAGAAAAACAACGGGATGATCTGCCTCAAAAGTGACTCTTCATGCTGACTGGACAAACTGTCCAGAACAGCTTTGTAAGGAAATCCTTGTTTCCGCCAGTTCCACGCATTTTCATCGGCACAAGAAAACATGTCTCGAATCACCTGTGGGAGGGGTATAGGAAGGAACATCACAAGTGGGAAACGAAACACACTTTTCATGACAAACAGGAAGTTTTACCTGAACAAATTGGAGGCTATGGAATAAATTCCAAAGTTCTATAGTCGGTAACACCTCTATTAAAGCATAACGACAGAGTATAAATGCAATCGCGCTCAGCCGATTAAGGACCGGTTAGGGACTTCAAAGTGAAAAATGGCTGAGGTTAACAAAATGTGCCACGGATGCGCACGAAAAACAGTGAAAAGAAAACTTTATTCATCAGATTTTATAAAAATCGATACACACTGACATACGCTGTGGAAATTAATATACCGCTCTCTCTCTCACTCTCAAACAGATTATGACAGGAAAATTCAATCTTGTCACATAATAAGAGGCAACCAAAACAAAGGTGACAAGCCAATGAGAACAATGAGTTCTCAGTGGATCCTTACAAAAAAAGAATAACTTAAGATGCTATGACGGATATCTACAAGACATTGGAGTCTGTACTAGATGTCTGTTTGGACTCCTTAGTGTAAGGGAATCCAGAAGGATTCTGAGATTGGTCTTGGTTAGAACGATGGAGGCGGGAAGTAGCGTTGATAAAGGGAGTCTGAGATTAGACATGATTATTTTGTGGACAAGCTGTAGAATGACGGGGTTTGGGGAGGACAACCTCGGTTGTGGTAAGAACATGATTGATCATCTTAAAAGAAGTGCCTGGGTTCGTCATAGTCTAAAAAAAGTGGAATTTATACCAGAATCCTGTAAAATACTCAATCCATGAAGTGAGAAACAAACGATAAACCAGGATAATGTGATGATTACGGGTTATCAATCACGGGAAGCTGGATACCAAAGTGGTCTCCAAGTAGCGTATCGATGCCCGTCAAGCAGTATGAGGAAAAAGAAGTGTTACACAAATCGCTATGCCACTGGCCACATCTAAGTAAGAAAGTTTTGGATAAAAGTAGGAGGAGGTGGCCAAGATAGTGTGTCAAAGGTGTTCAAGGCACAGCACAGAATTCTGTGAGGAGTTGGAGCTAGTGGACAAAATTGCAGGGCAGGCCTCAGTTGCAGACTTTTTAACACGACCGCCTATTCGGGCCCAGACAGTTATCGTTCAGCTATAGCACTTTTTCTGTGCCTAGCTACCGTGCCGACAGAAGCAAGCACGAGGGCTGGGATACTGCAAGCTTGCCCAAACCTAGACAGGAGCAGTCGGGTTCGAACCACAAACCTTCCAATCCGTAAGTTGGCGTCTTAACGACTGAGTTATCTCAATGTACGTTTCTCGACCGCCCTTAATACGATTGATACAGCTTCTAAGTACTCTATGAAGGGACGAGAGAAAGTTACGTTCATTATCAACAGCAGATTCGGGAGTGAACAAAATGAGTTTAAAAACAGGAACTACCATCAACCCGGAAATATCCAGCACAGAAAAGCAGGACTCAGAAAGTCCATTTTGATGCATAATGACTGAATAGTCATAGAAGGATAGGCAAGGGATGAGTTCGACTTCTTGACGATGAAAGGCACGTATCTACGCCAATTTACGTGGATTTTGAAAATATCTTCCACCAACTGTCATACGGCTCAGCATTCATCCACAATGTGTGACGGCCACCCACCTGCTTTTTCATTAAAAACCTTAAAAATCGTCCATCTCTAACACCCTTCCGGTGCCTAGCTGTCATGCTACCCGAAGGAAGCATGAGGGCTGGGATATTCCCAGGTTGCCCAAGCCTAGACAGGGGAAGTCGAGAGGCAGAGGTCGGGTTCGAACCACGGGCCTTCTGGCCAATGAATCCGCGCTCTAACCACTGAGCCATCTCGCCCAACTTCTATCTGAATATCTTTGACTTGTGAATGAGTAAAACTTGAATTAATTATGAAGGAATGAGTTTTCTCCACGTACGAGCGATCTGGCCTAAAAATAAACGCATTTATTTCAAGGAAAATAGTGGATTCTCATTTCTGCCTACTACAGCGCCTGGTAGTAATTTTCTTCTAGGGCATTTCTAGTTGCTAGCTGACATTCGGCATATAATCACCGGTTAGTTGACAGGGTGGTGTCCAGGCCGTCAGATCAGCTGTATTTAAACAAGCTGTTACAGCGAGAAAACCATAAACTGATGATAAGTTTTGGTGGCAATAGGCACAATCCGTTGCAAAACCAGTAACCGGGTGACTGAACGGATTTTCGAAAACAAAAGCTCAGATACAAAGCCCGAACGGGAAGATAACGGATCCGTGGGCATAAGTAGAGTCAAATACGATTGGCTGGAAGATAAGCTGAATGAAAATCCCGCACATTAACAACTAAGGTGGACGGGTAAAAGCTTTTTGGTTAGACGTGTACGTCCAAACCTATTCGTCAGAAAAAAACTGACCGCGGGCTAAATGCAGGAAGTCGTGCGCAACACGTGCAAGATATGGATATTTGCTCTACCTGAAACCATGAGTGGAGTAGAATGTGACGGCATCAGTGACACCCTACCTGACGTGCCTCTTGGTAAGACAGTTATCAGCGCATTAATCCGTACATTTGTTTTTTAAAATGATTTTCGCTTCACCATGCACTGGAAAACTCCTGGGTGAGTAAAATTGGAAACCGGATGACTAGCTCACATATGAACACCCAATGGTCATATTAAAACGTCGGACTCATCCTTTTGCCTTGCAACAAGGTGTGTTTGGGTGAGCCATAAATAAACAGCTTTCCCCTCGTAAAGTCGTGCAAAAAGGAGTTGATTATCAGTGTCCTACACTGAATATCCAGGAAGAACGCGGAAAAGAAAACGCCACAGGCGCGTCCATCCTTGCTCCTTCCAGTAAACCGTTGACCCGAGTCATGTGATCTTCAACTGGAGGGGAATCATGTGAGAATTAACTCACAATGTTAATGCGAACAGCTAGACGTGAATACATCGTCTCGTAGTAGCAGCGTGATTAGATTGCGCACTGGGCTCACCTGCGTCAGATATTCTCTATCCATAATTCTGATGGCCCCGTCAACTTCACAGGCTCTCAACCGTTTTAGAGCCAAACTTAATTCGGTTGGACTGCACGGGAATGCTTGGATGAGGTCTGATCGACTGTGAAGGGGCGGACTCATAAGCGTCGATTCATCTGAAGTTAAGTGATTACCATCTTCAACCGGTCCGTGATAAGTGGAAGTGGATAGGTACTGTTTCAACAACCGCAACGAAGGAGCGATAGACCTATGCAACTCGTAATAGGACTTTTTCACAGCAATCACGGTGTTGGGGATAGCAACGGCCTGTGTTGCGCTGTCTTTATTCGAGGTTGATTTCGGTTTGGTAGAGTTAGGTGGGAGCCACCAGCTGGAGGAAAGCAGTAAGGAGTTGGAAGTTTCTGCTTCTACGATGGAAAATGTTTCTTCATCCGTACAAGCGAAAGCGCGACCGGTGTTGTTTTTCCGAGGTTCATCCTTCAGTTCAATCACTGTAAAGGCACCCGGTCGAATAAGTTTGTCAGCGAGAGCAGGAGACACCTCGAATAGATTGTACTCATCAGAAGTGAGTGCAGTAGAGAATAGTACAGACTGGATCGGCCCGGAAGAGCAGGAGTCATCCAGTTTGGCTGAGTGCAATAATTCTTTCATCACCTCAACTGTGCGAATTTCCGACATGATCTGGGGTTTCAACGGTGCCCAGGTTAGCTATAACAGGATTTCGCTGAAAGTAGAGAGTACAGAAAAGCAGTGGTTGACAGGGAAAATCGAGCACACACCGCTGGTGCGTAACGCTAAGCTATATCAAGAGAGTGGTTAGTTCAAGAATTTGACAAGACCATAATTCCGTTTGGATACTCTTTTGGCAAATAAATAATAATAAATAATCGTTCAGCTGTAGCACGCTTCATGTCCATGCCATGCTACTCGAAGGAAGCACGAGGGTGAAAATAGTACCGAGTTGCCCAAACCTGAACAGCAACGGTCGAGATTCCGGAGTTGGATTCGAACCACAAATACTGTGTGTTCCTTAACCATCGAGGCACATCGACGTCCATTTGGCAAATACTGCACTCTGCCTGGGTCAATGCAGATTACCCCCAACAAACTGTAGTGTGAAATCCGAAGTAACAGAAAGTCACTCTTTGCCTAACGAGGATTTTCACTGGAAACCGATATGTGGATGTGTATCCTAGTCACAATATCATCCGAATTTCCCCGAAACTTAGGTAAAGCAAGAGTGGCAGTGCAAATGCAATCAAACTTCGATGAAGTTCCTTCGTGAAGTTACAGAATACTTCTACGCAAACACCAGAGGGAACAGATGCACCGCTATGAAGCTGTCTCACGTTTGACGTTGCGGCACGTCCTCCCTTTCTGCTAGATGTCAGTGAAGACACACAAACCCACACACAGCTTCAAATCCACGTATTGCATTCTAAACTCCAGATACCACCAATTCAGCATAGTACTCGCTAAAATAGATCTCTGCAAGGTACAATACGTGACTTGTCAAATAAAGACGCTCCATATCCAGCGTCTCACAAAATTATACCAATTATACGCATACTTTACTACCGTCTCGCAGAATAAACTTGAGTTAACGCTGAAGTCAATTTGTGCTTCGAGTCGTCGGTTAGGTAAGCTTTCTCTGACCGTAGAAACTGAAATATGCGATTTCGCTCCCTAAACCTAGAATTAGGTTGCTTTGAACTACTATGGTTCGCAGCCAAATTATCGAGGTAACCATTAGTTGATGAAGCCTCGCTTTGACAGCTTTCTACTCCTCCGCTCCAAAGAACAAGTTATCCACCAGGTCACGCACACAAAGTATCGATGCAAAGCACAGAATCTGCAAACATCGACTGCTCCAACCAGTCTTGCAGCATGACTCTACCAGAATAATGCATCTGAAAACGTTCTTGAACAGCTCAGCATATACATGATTTGCTCTCAGGGTGTCAGCTGACCAAAAATTAGCTCCTCTCTATCTAACTCATGTGAATGTGGTGAGTATGGTAACTGAAGACAATTTACTAGACTTGATTCGTACTAACCGGGGCTGTCAGGATTGGTAGCCAACCAGTCCAAACCCCAACTGCATGTGATCTCCGAATTAACATCAACAAACTGTAGCAGCGACACCGCGAAAGATTCTAACGTAGGGAATTCCCAGATTCCTGCACATGACAAAGTGCAGCGATGGTGTTGTTCTCTAGGTTGGGAAGAATCGTATCACAGCCATCTGGGTGAAATGTTTGGAGACTCCCACAAAGCCGATAACAGTGACTGTTCTCACAAACACGGTCTGACTACAAAACTTTCAACACAAACCATGAAATCGTTACCTGGAGCTATGCACACCACAGGCAATAGGGTAACCAGATTGGCCACATAGAACTTGATCATAGACGATCTTGTGCTGAAGATAACTACTTCTTTTGAAACAGGTGAGTGGAGTCAGATCATGCCATGGTTCACCGCCCAGCGATCAAGAGCACCATTCGCCGCTAGGATATCCACTGCCTGCAAGATTCGGTCATCAAATCTACTAGTCTAAACAACCTATAAACGCGATATAAACCAACCGGCTAAATAAATATTGGTTCAAAGTCCGAAAAACTAGGAATTCGGCGTTTCACTGCGTGCACTCTAAAACGAAGCCGCGGCCCAAATCACGTTGGATCTCGTAAGAAAATAAGCACGGATCTGCCCGGATTGACGATGCATTGACTAACATCACCAATGGCGAAAATCTGGTGGAAATCGTGCCAGGCGAAATGCATCTTCGTGACTGCTTTTTGACAATATCTTTCCTTCAGAGGTACGCCAAAGACTTTTGCTGCACTCCTTCGATCCTCATTCCCCAACATCCGTGGGCATGAATCTCTATGGAGAGTGCTTCCCTAAGGTCATCACCAAAAATGATGCCCGTCTGTGCCGCCCTTTGTTATTTATCGTCTCGAAATTCTTAGTCGAATCAATTATCGGAAAAGCGATCGGCTTAAAGTGTGCAGCTTTTTCCCGAACAGGATCTTATAAGATCTTATAAGTACTTGGAGTATGCGAACGACTTGCACCACGTGGTTCGGATACCATCCAGATACAAAATACATCAAATAACCTATATGATATTGCCATGCTTTTTTAGCCTGCGATTGGTATCCTCAGAGCGCAAAGTGATATACTAGAAGACTGGGATAATAAACCACAGAAGCCGGTCAAGGCATCAGGACCATTAAAGGCAGTGCATTATGCCGGATGGAAAAAGTGCCGACAAAGTGAGTGCTAGAATCGTTAAAGCCTATTCTGCTTTCATTAATGAAAGCACGCCTAGGGTAGAAGTCACGTTAGCCTGTTGGATCCGCCAAGCGGCACTGAGTGCAGTCTCCTTTTAAGTTTTTAAAGCCTGAGCACCGTGCGTCAAAAGATTGCGTTTGAATATCGATATATATATTCTCCGCAACTGCCTTACCGTGCCCGGTTGGTTGCACTGGGTTTACGGCATAGAACGGAATCTCGTGAGGGGTTGGTGTTGTGTCGTCCGGAGGTAACCCGTCAACTCGCGTAAGGAAGAAGCCAAAGTCGAGCACAGGAACAGGTTTTTTCGCCGCGAAGTAAGGCGGTTTATATACATCGGAAAAAATGGCATGAATTGGCCGAGACTTTCTCTTCAACCGAATAACCAATAGGAACCAAAAGTTATGCACGACGGAGCAGAAAAATAACGAAATGCAACGACCAATAGGAGTCACACGTGAGAGCGGAACGAGGATAAATCTATGGGGACTCAGCACGATGCATTCTGGTGGCTGAACGCGTGGTGACGACAAATATAAGCAGAATGTGAGAATTGACCAGAAACGATCAGTCCGTAGCTAAGACGAAATTTTTAGACAACTAACAGTTCCGTTCTGGTAACAGCTGGGACTAGTGGACAAAATTGTAGGGCAGTCCTCAGTTCCAAACCCTTTAACACGACCGTTTATTTGGGCCTAGACAGTCGTCGTTCAGCTGTAGCACTCTCTCAATACCTAGTTATCATTCCAACGAAAGAAGGCGCTAGGACTAGAATAGTGCCAGTTTGCCCAAGCCTAGACAGGAGCAATTGAGAAGCTGAGGTTGGGTTCGAACCACAGACCTTTCGGTCCGTAAGCTGACACCTTAAACAATGAGCTAACTTCAGCTGTGTGCCAGCACGAACTCTTACACTGAGTTACCCAGAAGTCACCAACCGCGTGCTACCCATGAAACCCGGTGAACGATTTGGCTGATGGATAGCCTCGATTAAAGATTGTCAGTTCTTTTGGATACGGTTGTCAGTTTCCTTCCCCCGCATTAGGCATACCAATGCAGAAAGATACCGTCCATCAATTTCAAACGGTTTCAGTGCCTCGATAGCACCAAGCTGTTCTTGAGGAAAAGCTACTGGAAATGTACTCACGCTGATAAAAAGACTGATTGGAAGATAAATGGGGGCGGAAGCCGTAAATTCATCTTTTAAGACCATGTCTAACTCATTCAACTCAACCAAATGAAAACTCCTTTAGCTATAACATCCTTTAGGTGCCAAGCTCTCTGATATGTATCGGAATCGGGTACAATCAACGGATATACGCGACCTGAGAACGAGCGCACAACTCCCCAGCTATGATGCGAACCCAACCACTCCTGGCGCAGACAGAGAAGAAGACCAGACCTTCGGAAGGGGGTTTTTACTGCCTCAACCAAAGGCGAATTACAGTGGGAGCAACGTCATATATATATATATATTTCGAGCGACCTTGGGAAGCGAAGAGTCAGTTAATGCACACAAAGTATAGCTGGCCAATAGGAAAAGAGCGCGGTCTTTACGGATTGAGGTGCAACATGGCGGAAAAGGCGCGAAATTTAAAAATTCAAAAATTTTTGAAAATAAACTGGCAATAATTCGGAAAATAAGCAGTTTTTGGTAGCAACGGCCTGTGTTGCGCTGTCTTTATTCGAGGTTGATTTCGGTTTGGTAGAGTTAGGTGGGAGCCACCAGCTGGAGGAAAGCAGTAAGGAGTTGGAAGTTTCTGCTTCTACGATGGAAAATGTTTCTTCATCCGTACAAGCGAAAGCGCGACCGGTGTTGTTTTTCCGAGGTTCATCCTTCAGTTCAATCACTGTAAAGGCACCCGGTCGAATAAGTTTGTCAGCGAGAGCAGGAGACACCTCGAATAGATTGTACTCATCAGAAGTGAGTGCAGTAGAGAATAGTACAGACTGGATCGGCCCGGAAGAGCAGGAGTCATCCAGTTTGGCTGAGTGCAATAATTCTTTCATCACCTCAACTGTGCGAATTTCCGACATGATCTGGGGTTTCAACGGTGCCCAGGTTAGCTATAACAGGATTTCGCTGAAAGTAGAGAGTACAGAAAAGCAGTGGTTGACAGGGAAAATCGAGCACACACCGCTGGTGCGTAACGCTAAGCTATATCAAGAGAGTGGTTAGTTCAAGAATTTGACAAGACCATAATTCCGTTTGGATACTCTTTTGGCAAATAAATAATAATAAATAATCGTTCAGCTGTAGCACGCTTCATGTCCATGCCATGCTACTCGAAGGAAGCACGAGGGTGAAAATAGTACCGAGTTGCCCAAACCTGAACAGCAACGGTCGAGATTCCGGAGTTGGATTCGAACCACAAATACTGTGTGTTCCTTAACCATCGAGGCACATCGACGTCCATTTGGCAAATACTGCACTCTGCCTGGGTCAATGCAGATTACCCCCAACAAACTGTAGTGTGAAATCCGAAGTAACAGAAAGTCACTCTTTGCCTAACGAGGATTTTCACTGGAAACCGATATGTGGATGTGTATCCTAGTCACAATATCATCCGAATTTCCCCGAAACTTAGGTAAAGCAAGAGTGGCAGTGCAAATGCAATCAAACTTCGATGAAGTTCCTTCGTGAAGTTACAGAATACTTCTACGCAAACACCAGAGGGAACAGATGCACCGCTATGAAGCTGTCTCACGTTTGACGTTGCGGCACGTCCTCCCTTTCTGCTAGATGTCAGTGAAGACACACAAACCCACACACAGCTTCAAATCCACGTATTGCATTCTAAACTCCAGATACCACCAATTCAGCATAGTACTCGCTAAAATAGATCTCTGCAAGGTACAATACGTGACTTGTCAAATAAAGACGCTCCATATCCAGCGTCTCACAAAATTATACCAATTATACGCATACTTTACTACCGTCTCGCAGAATAAACTTGAGTTAACGCTGAAGTCAATTTGTGCTTCGAGTCGTCGGTTAGGTAAGCTTTCTCTGACCGTAGAAACTGAAATATGCGATTTCGCTCCCTAAACCTAGAATTAGGTTGCTTTGAACTACTATGGTTCGCAGCCAAATTATCGAGGTAACAATTAGTTGATGAAGCCTCGCTTTGACAGCTTTCTACTCCTCCGCTCCAAAGAACAAGTTATCCACCAGGTCACGCACACAAAGTATCGATGCAAAGCACAGAATCTGCAAACATCGACTGCTCCAACCAGTCTTGCAGCATGACTCTACCAGAATAATGCATCTGAAAACGTTCTTGAACAGCTCAGCATATACATGATTTGCTCTCAGGGTGTCAGCTGACCAAAAATTAGCTCCTCTCTATCTAACTCATGTGAATGTGGTGAGTATGGTAACTGAAGACAATTTACTAGACTTGATTCGTACTAACCGGGGCTGTCAGGATTGGTAGCCAACCAGTCCAAACCCCAACTGCATGTGATCTCCGAATTAACATCAACAAACTGTAGCAGCGACACCGCGAAAGATTCTAACGTAGGGAATTCCCAGATTCCTGCACATGACAAAGTGCAGCGATGGTGTTGTTCTCTAGGTTGGGAAGAATCGTATCACAGCCATCTGGGTGAAATGTTTGGAGACTCCCACAAAGCCGATAACAGTGACTGTTCTCACAAACACGGTCTGACTACAAAACTTTCAACACAAACCATGAAATCGTTACCTGGAGCTATGCACACCACAGGCAATAGGGTAACCAGATTGGCCACATAGAACTTGATCATAGACGATCTTGTGCTGAAGATAACTACTTCTTTTGAAACAGGTGAGTGGAGTCAGATCATGCCATGGTTCACCGCCCAGCGATCAAGAGCACCATTCGCCGCTAGGATATCCACTGCCTGCAAGATTCGGTCATCAAATCTACTAGTCTAAACAACCTATAAACGCGATATAAACCAACCGGCTAAATAAATATTGGTTCAAAGTCCGAAAAACTAGGAATTCGGCGTTTCACTGCGTGCACTCTAAAACGAAGCCGCGGCCCAAATCACGTTGGATCTCGTAAGAAAATAAGCACGGATCTGCCCGGATTGACGATGCATTGACTAACATCACCAATGGCGAAAATCTGGTGGAAATCGTGCCAGGCGAAATGCATCTTCGTGACTGCTTTTTGACAATATCTTTCCTTCAGAGGTACGCCAAAGACTTTTGCTGCACTCCTTCGATCCTCATTCCCCAACATCCGTGGGCATGAATCTCTATGGAGAGTGCTTCCCTAAGGTCATCACCAAAAATGATGCCCGTCTGTGCCGCCCTTTGTTATTTATCGTCTCGAAATTCTTAGTCGAATCAATTATCGGAAAAGCGATCGGCTTAAAGTGTGCAGCTTTTTCCCGAACAGGATCTTATAAGATCTTATAAGTACTTGGAGTATGCGAACGACTTGCACCACGTGGTTCGGATACCATCCAGATACAAAATACATCAAATAACCTATATGATATTGCCATGCTTTTTTAGCCTGCGATTGGTATCCTCAGAGCGCAAAGTGATATACTAGAAGACTGGGATAATAAACCACAGAAGCCGGTCAAGGCATCAGGACCATTAAAGGCAGTGCATTATGCCGGATGGAAAAAGTGCCGACAAAGTGAGTGCTAGAATCGTTAAAGCCTATTCTGCTTTCATTAATGAAAGCACGCCTAGGGTAGAAGTCACGTTAGCCTGTTGGATCCGCCAAGCGGCACTGAGTGCAGTCTCCTTTTAAGTTTTTAAAGCCTGAGCACCGTGCGTCAAAAGATTGCGTTTGAATATCGATATATATATTCTCCGCAACTGCCTTACCGTGCCCGGTTGGTTGCACTGGGTTTACGGCATAGAACGGAATCTCGTGAGGGGTTGGTGTTGTGTCGTCCGGAGGTAACCCGTCAACTCGCGTAAGGAAGAAGCCAAAGTCGAGCACAGGAACAGGTTTTTTCGCCGCGAAGTAAGGCGGTTTATATACATCGGAAAAAATGGCATGAATTGGCCGAGACTTTCTCTTCAACCGAATAACCAATAGGAACCAAAAGTTATGCACGACGGAGCAGAAAAATAACGAAATGCAACGACCAATAGGAGTCACACGTGAGAGCGGAACGAGGATAAATCTATGGGGACTCAGCACGATGCATTCTGGTGGCTGAACGCGTGGTGACGACAAATATAAGCAGAATGTGAGAATTGACCAGAAACGATCAGTCCGTAGCTAAGACGAAATTTTTAGACAACTAACAGTTCCGTTCTGGTAACAGCTGGGACTAGTGGACAAAATTGTAGGGCAGTCCTCAGTTCCAAACCCTTTAACACGACCGTTTATTTGGGCCTAGACAGTCGTCGTTCAGCTGTAGCACTCTCTCAATACCTAGTTATCATTCCAACGAAAGAAGGCGCTAGGACTAGAATAGTGCCAGTTTGCCCAAGCCTAGACAGGAGCAATTGAGAAGCTGAGGTTGGGTTCGAACCACAGACCTTTCGGTCCGTAAGCTGACACCTTAAACAATGAGCTAACTTCAGCTGTGTGCCAGCACGAACTCTTACACTGAGTTACCCAGAAGTCACCAACCGCGTGCTACCCATGAAACCCGGTGAACGATTTGGCTGATGGATAGCCTCGATTAAAGATTGTCAGTTCTTTTGGATACGGTTGTCAGTTTCCTTCCCCCGCATTAGGCATACCAATGCAGAAAGATACCGTCCATCAATTTCAAACGGTTTCAGTGCCTCGATAGCACCAAGCTGTTCTTGAGGAAAAGCTACTGGAAATGTACTCACGCTGATAAAAAGACTGATTGGAAGATAAATGGGGGCGGAAGCCGTAAATTCATCTTTTAAGACCATGTCTAACTCATTCAACTCAACCAAATGAAAACTCCTTTAGCTATAACATCCTTTAGGTGCCAAGCTCTCTGATATGTATCGGAATCGGGTACAATCAACGGATATACGCGTCCTGAGAACGAGCGCACAACTCCCCAGCTATGATGCGAACCCAACCACTCCTGGCGCAGACAGAGAAGAAGACCAGACCTTCGGAAGGGGGTTTTTACTGCCTCAACCAAAGGCGAATTACAGTGGGAGCAACGTCATATATATATATATATATATATATATATATATATATATTTCGAGCAACCTTGGGGAGCGATAAGTCAGTTAATGCACACAAAGTATAACTGGCCAATAGGAAAAGAGCGCGGTTTTTACGGATTGAGGTGGAACATGGCGGAAAAGGCTCGAAATTTAAAATTTCAAAAATTTTTGAAAATAAACTGGCAATAACTCGCAAAATAAGCAGTTTTTGGGGATACTGACATAACCAACACTGTCATGCAACCCTGAAGAAACGCAAGGGCCAGGACAAGGGTTCGAACAACGGAGCTTCTGCTATTTGAATTCAAGTATTAACCACTGGACTATCTCGAGCATCAGTGAACTCTGGATATCGTCGAGATCATCAGATCTTATTACTACCGAAGAAATCACGCCAGGAGGTATACCTCTTTTGGTCGCCATAGCGACCAAAAGGGCGTATAACCATCGCCCACAACTCGGAAAATCAAGAAGACTGAAGAAGACTGAAGACGGAACTGCAATATCATCAACAAAATGATGTGCAGGGTATAATTCCTCAAAGGAGGCAAGGTACGCGATCCTTAACAGTCAAGCTAAACTACTGACGACTTTAAACGCACGCAGAAAACTAGCGGACGGAGTATCTTGAACTTGCATGTATGAAGAAACCAAGGCTTCGCTGTAGCAGGGGATAAATGGGCTATATTTTGAACAACACCACATTCAGACATCCTGCTACGATCGTCGCTCATGATGTGAAGTCTGCTTTTGACTTCGGAGTTATGGACCCTATAACTATTACGGCAATGCCTCACATCAGCGCCCTCATAAAATTACATCCGAAATCCTATGGGCACTTGTGGACATATAGCAGTCTTTCGCTCAAGGCCACCAAGTCCAGTGATATGGATAGGGCTGCCGTCGCCCACCAATCCCGCACAAGTTTAAATAACAAAGCGACAGCAGTTATTATCGGTATGCTACTTGAGATCGCCTTGTCTCTTCAATCAAATTCACTTACGTACCCGTCGACAGAGAAGAGGACCCGTGACTCAAGGCGAAAGGTCGATCGCCTTATTTGCGACATAATCCCCACTCTGATTGGCTGATGTCAGACGGCGGGAGCATTAAACATCGGATTCCGGGAGAAGCCCATTAATCGCACAATGGTCTCAACTGCAAGCCTTTGCGTGTAGGTCAAAGCTTTTGCGCCAGAATTTTGAATTTTGTTGTGTGCGTGCCTAAACCAAAAACCATCACAATCTATTATTATCATTTTGCAGCTCACCAAATTTCATTGTCCATTGAAGCAAAAATACATCTAGCGGGGAAATTCGGGTGGAATAATTTCCCTGCATTGCTGAGACCCCGGGATGCCCAAATGAGGCTCAGATGTTTGCACTGGTTTTGAGAAACAAACCGCGTCATGGGCGTTGCACCACGCGCAGATTGTGATTTTGCGTAATCTTACACATGAAACAGCATCTTTTTACTTCCTCTTGGTAGATGTTTTGGGTTCACAGGAAACTTGACTGATGTGCATGACGCAACCAAAGAAAGTTTAAGCTTGGGACAGAAGCCTTTGGAAAATGCTGCCGTCTCCTCAATTTATGGTAGTGATTTGGAAATTATTGGTGGTTTCAACTCTAAGCCAATTGCTCCGACTAGGAAATTGGTAAAATCGCTCTTGGTGTCTTGTGGCACAAGGAATTCTGATTGTGCGTGAAGCAAAATTAGCTAAACTATTTGCAACAAAATGGAGAGCTGTTAACCATGAACTCCCTCACTTCGTCGGGACTAGTGGATGCGCAGTGGAAGAACGATGTAGGGGAATTGTGGATGGGCAGACAATTAGCATTGTGGAGATGGATGATGGGGAGTTAGTGGCTTCCGATCGCTTAAAAAGACAAAGGGGGTTGGTGGAATTTCGGCAGCGTGCAACACCTGAATGTGGGTTATCCTCTGGTCAGTAGAGTGGAGTAAAACTTGCAGTCCACAGTTAGGTCATTGTCATTGACAGAGACGTAGTTGGATAATTGAGACATAATTCTTAAAGTAAAAATGACTTGTAATATGTTCATATCAGCGACCAGTTAGAAGAGGGACTACACCTTGCGGTCGTATTGGCACGTAAAAAATAAAAACTTTTCGTCCATGGTTGAGCGGCGAAACGCGCGATCCAGCGGCCGTCGTTGACAGTTGGATTTGGTTGCCATGCATGGTTGAGGATTCGTGGTTGATGTTGCCCATACACAGGAGCCAAGTAGTTTCAATAAGTGGCCAGGTTGAGCGACAACTCGCGCGTTCATGAGAAGGCAGGATTTTGGTTGGACATTTCGTCAGGCCGCCGTACATCGTTGTGGCCTTATAATCAGTGGCCCAACTGTGGCGACGAGTAGTTAGGGTAAGCGACAATGATCAGAGGTAATGGAAAGCATTATTTTCCGGCTGTCTTTGCTCTTTAGGACATAATCAACTAATCACGTCGTACTTTACCTTGATAAAGATGTTCCATTGGGATGCTTGCGCTTCACATGAGGATATCTGAAAGGCTGCACTAACTTGCGTGTTGTTGTGCCTATCTGGGAATGTCGGTGTTTCACAGGGGGTGAATACTGTTATACATACTACATAATGCGAGGGGCTCCATTCAGTTATTGTGCTG